CCCCAAAACCCCAAAACCCCATCCAAAAGAATATTTAAAATTCATGGTTTAATTGTAAATAAAAAATAATCTAAATATTTGAGTATAATATAGCTTTCAATATTATCAATATAATAGAATTAATAAACTCAACTTTACTAAGCATAATAATAGGTTATGGAGAGTCTAAGATGCATTCTGATCTGTGTGAAGTGCAACAAATTTTACAATACCACCACTAGAGTACCTTTAAACTTACCTTGCTAAGACGTCATCTGTAAGCAGTGCTATGAATTTGAATACAGCTAAGTCTAGTCCTAAATTATTATATGCCCATTCGATGCAGATCATCTATTTGAGAGGACAGCAAGAGTTATTGAATCTTAAATAATCTTGAGATATCTCTAGCAATATGATTTTTACTCCATTTAATGCTCAGTTCATCAAGATGAAAACGCAAGAAATTATTGCAAAGTTGAAGACAAAATCTTGTGCGGAAGATGCATACTTTCTAACCCTCATGAACATCAAAGAAAAAAGAGAGAAACTCATTTTGACATAAAAAGAGAATATTTAGAGGATTCTTTTTAGAAGGTAATACCTTCACTTCAGAGTGAGATAGAAAGAATCAAGAAAACGATTGATGTGCTTTAAAGTTACATATTCAGAGAAAAAGAAATTACTGACTCTGAATTATAGCGCGTAATAAAATATTCTCTTTAGGTGCTCTAGCATTCTTAGCTTGATGAATCTGTGATAAAAAAAATAAAAGATCAAAGTGATCTAAATACTTTCTTGGCAAATTTTTCGTAAATTTTCAAAATCTTAATATTCTTTAGTTATAGTTATTAATAAGCAAACAAGCATGAGCAAGAGAGACTCTACTCTGAATAGATTAGAAGGAGTGTTCCAAGTAGTATTCCAACTCTAAAAATTCCATTATATCTAGAATTCAAAAGATTGATGGAAATTGAGCTTTCAAGAGATGAGCTAAGTTTGATTAAGAAACATATAGATCCTCTTAGGAGTATCACCTATTCATTGATATATAAGGGCATCAGAGATGGATTTTTATCAAGCAAATTTCATGAGATATGTGATAACAAGGGATCTACTGTGTCTTTCATTTTAAGTGACTCAGGCCAAGTCTTTGGAGGGTATACAAGTAAGCCTTGGAATAGTGATGGAAAATATTAAAAGGATTCAGGGGCATTTTTATTTTCATTATCAAAGAGAACAGTTCACAAGCAATATTAGAATAGGGATTATGCTGTTTAGAATAATAAAAATGCTTTACTAGCATTTGGATATGGACACGATATCCTCATTCCAAATAATTGCTAGATTCAAAATTGCTCTACAAAGTTAGGAGCTACTTACATGATACCTTCTGATACAGAATTTAATGAGATAGAATGTGAGAAGTATTTTGCTAACACTCAAAATTTCAAAGTTGTAGACATTGAAGTGTATAAGGTTGTAATAAACTGATGGCAAACTAAAATTTCACATGGTTTTAAATTCTTTATTTAAATTAAATACCTTATTAAAATCATATTAATCCCAAATTTATCTCTTAAGGGGTTTTGGGGTTTTGGGGTTTTGGGG